GGGGGGGGGGGGGGGGGGGGGGGGGGGGGGGGGGGGGGGTTGAGGTATGCTAGGCTTCGTGGAGCTATAGAAAAGGGACAGAATCCTGCACGATGACCTGTCTTTTGGGGACTCCTATACCTTCTGGGAGCTGCCAGGGCTCCTCCGTGATGGGAGGGGTGATTCTTTGAATCTTCAGTGACATCCTCCTCAATGCTCCAGGTCCATGCATGGGGAAGGACCTCCTTCCTCAGACAGAAGTTGACACAGCAACCTTGGTTCTCCCCTCGAGGGAGTTGCAGCCCAGGACAGGCTGCTTCAGTATGGGGGGGATGGGTGGCTGGGAGCCTACTGCCCCCGGTCCCGCCTCCCTCCCACCTCAAGTTCTCTATCCGCTGGGATTTCGGTCTCAGTGGAGGGCTTTTGTGCATGCGCAAGCGAACGCCTGTGCTGCCTGTGTGCGGGTGGGTTCGTGTGAGGACTTGTGTCCTTGTGTCTGTCAGCTCACACAATGAACAGGAAAGCACCGCGACGGAGAACCTTGTCCGGATGCTAGCTTCAGCTGAAAGAACAATGAGGTCTCCAGGGTATAGTGTGTCCATGTCTGGGTGTCCTTGTGTTTGTGTGCTAGAAAATGTGCTGTGAACCTCTAAACCCCTGCAGAAGTTGCAAGTTTGATGGCGGTGCCAAGCTGTGTTTGTGTTGTGTGAATGTATGGGCGCGTGTGCGAATGCGGTGAGTGGGACAAAGAGCTTGAGGAAAGACAACAGGCCACAGACAGAAATACTTTTTCTGTACCCTTGTCACGGAGTTAAACGAAGGCTTAGAAACACACCTGCGGGTCAGGGCAGAGCCTAGAGCAGACAGGGGAGCGGCTGAGTCTCTGGAGTGCCAGACTGAATGGGTAGGTGGGAGTGGGGGGTAGGGGTCGAGGCACAAGTCCGCTAGAAAAGGAAGTCAGGGCCCGAGAGAGAGCATACATTGAATCCTGAGACTTTTATTGCGCCCCCACTCGTGTCCAAGAGAGACTCTTGGGCACAGAGGAGAAGGTTCCTGGGGCCCCAGGGTCTGCCCCAGACGGGTTTGCGGAGGCAGAGCTTAATAGGGAGAGGGAGGCTGGATCTCATAAGTCACCTTCCCCCCTCTTTCCCCAGCTTCCATCCGCAGGATCCGGGATGGTGCCCTTGCGGGCTCTGTGGCTGGCCTGGGCTCTGCTAGGAGTGGCCGGAGCATGCCCAGAGCCGTGCGCCTGCGTGGACAAGTACGCGCACCAGTTCGCCGACTGCGCCTACAAGGAGTTGCGCGAGGTGCCGGAAGGACTGCCGGCCAACGTGACCACGCTGAGTCTGTCGGCCAACAAGATCACCGTGCTGCGGCGCGGGGCCTTCGCCGATGTCACGCAAGTCACGTCGTTGTGGCTAGCGCACAATGAGGTGCGCACGGTGGAGCCCGGCGCCCTGGCAGTGCTGAGCCAGCTCAAGAACCTCGACCTAAGCCACAACCTCATATCCAGCTTCCCGTGGAGCGACCTTCGTAACCTGAGTGCGCTGCAGCTGCTAAAAATGAACCACAATCGTTTGGGCTCACTGCCCCGGGATGCGCTCGGTGCGCTGCCCGACCTGCGCTCCCTGCGCATCAACAACAACCGGCTGCGTACCCTGGCTCCTGGCACCTTCGACGCGTTAAGCGCACTGTCCCATCTGCAACTCTATCACAACCCCTTCCACTGCGGTTGCAGCCTTGTGTGGCTGCAGGCCTGGGCCGCAAGCACCAGGGTCTCCTTACCAGAGCCCGACTCCATTGCGTGTGCCTCGCCTCCCGCGCTGCAGGGGGTGCCGGTGCACCGCCTTCCCGCCCTGTCCTGTGTACCACCCAGCGTGCGTCTGAGTGCTGAGCCCCCGCCCGAGGCACCGGGCAGCCCCTTGCCCGCCGGCCTGGCGCTCATGCTAAACTGCGTAGCTGAAGGACACCCCACACCCCGCCTGCAATGGCAACTTCAGATCCCGGGTGGCACCATAGTCTTAGAGCCTCCCGTCCTGAGCGGGGAAGACAACGCAGATGGGACCGATGACGGGGAGGAGGAAGGAGATGGGGATGGGCCCACGCAGACAGAGGCCCCAACCCCGACTCCAGCACCCGCTTGGCCCGCGCCCCCAGCCAACCCACGTTTCCTGGCCCTCACAAACGGTTCCCTGTTGGTGCCCCTCCTGAGTGCCAAGGAAGCAGGCATCTACACCTGCCGAGCCCACAATGAGCTGGGGGCCAACTCCACCTCACTACGCGTGGCAGTGGCGGCTGCCGGGCCCCCAAAGCACGCTCCTGGTGCCGGGGGAGACTCTGAAGGGCAGGCCCCTACTTCTGAACGCAAGTCCACAGCTAAAGGCCGGGGCAACAGCGTTCTACCCTCCAAGCCCGAGGGCAAAATCAAAGGCCAAGGCCTAGCCCGGGTTAGCATCCTCGGGGAAACGGAGGCGGGGCCGGAGCAGGAGGAGGAGGAGGAGGAGGCAGGTGAGGGAGAGGAAGCAGAAGACCAGATCTCTGCGGATCCGGCGGAGGAGCAACGCTGTGGCCACGGGGACCCCTCGCGGTACGTGTCCAACCACGCATTCAACCAGAGCGCAGAGCTCAAGCAGCACGTCTTTGAGCTGGGCGTCATCGCACTGGACGTGGCGGAGCGCGAGGCTCGGGTGCAGCTGACGCCGCTGGCGGCGCGCTGGGGATCTGGGCCCGGCGGGGCTGGGGCAGCCGGGCGGCCGGGGCGGCGGCCGCTGCGCCTGCTCTACTTGTGCCCAGCGGGGGGTGGCGCAGCAGTGCAGTGGTCGCGCGTGGAGGAGGGCGTCAACGCCTATTGGTTCCGCGGCCTGCGGCCTGGTACTAACTACTCAGTGTGTTTGGCGCTAGCCGGGGAGGCTTGCCACGTGCAAGTGGTGTTTGCCACCAAGAAGGAATTGCCCTCGCTGCTGGTTATCGTGGCCGTGAGCGTATTCCTCCTGGTGCTGGCCACCGTGCCCCTGCTGGGCGCCGCCTGCTGCCACCTTTTGGCCAAACACCCCGGTAAGCCCTATCGTCTTATACTGCGGCCACAGGCCCCTGACCCCATGGAGAAACGCATCGCCGCTGACTTCGACCCGCGTGCCTCCTACCTCGAGTCGGAGAAAAGCTACCAGGCAGGCGGCGAGGCAGACGTCGTGGAGCCAGCAGAGGCTCCCGGGGAGAGCCTCGATGAAGACGCGGAGCAAGAGGACCCAGGTGGGGACCTGCAGAGGGAGGAGAGTCTGGCGGCCTGCTCTTTGGTGGAGTCCCAGTCCAAGGCCAACCAAGAGGAGTTCGAGGCGGGCTCTGAGTACAGTGATCGGCTGCCCCTGGGCGCCGAGGCAGTCAACATCGCCCAGGAAATTAATGGCAATTACAGGCAGACGGCAGGCTGAACCCCCAGCCCCACCGGCCTGCCCATTCCCATCCCCCACCTTGGGTGCCTGGGAGAAGAAGCCTAGGGCTGGCAGGATGTACGCCCACCACCCCACCCACAACCTTCGCTTACTCCGCCCCTTTACCAGCCCCGACCTTCATTACTGGGGACCCTTCATTACTGGGGACTTCGAGAGGGGAGTGGGATGACTGCACCAGTTCCCAGCCACCCATTATCATCATTGTCTTTGAGAGCTCAATTCCCCTCCACGGCAAGCACAGTTACTCACTCTCCTCTCTCCCTATAATGCACCACCCGCTGACGGGTAAGCGGAATCCACGCCTCTCCATTCCCACCCTAATTGTTATCTGCGATATCTGCTCTGCAGCCTACCCCACCGTAGGCTCTGGAACCAGAGGAAACAGGAGACCACGGAAATATCTGGTGGTAATGCTGTGGCGTGGGGTCAGCCAGGGATCCGCAGCAGATGTCCCTTGCGTGGAGCGCTGTAGGGTCCCACCTGGACCCCTACTCCAACATTTCTGGGGTGCACGTCCCAGAAGCCAGGAATCCGTGGCAACTCCCTAGTTTTAGTTTCAAAGTCCCCTTGCGACTGGGAAACAAACCCTTCTGTCCCCCCACCCCCAATCGCTTCTAATCAGCTGGAGCCAAGCCCGGTGCCTGGGGCGGCTTTCAGCTCCGCGCTCCGATTTTCATATTTTCGTGTTTTGTTTTTGTTTTTGTTTTTGTTTTTGTTTTCCCTCAAAGACAGCGACGCTCCGGGTCCGGTGCTAACACCCCCTTCCCAGCCTCTGGGAAAATTGGATGTGTATGAGGGGGTACAACAGGGAATCCGTTTTCTCTTTCCGGCTCTCCTAGCTTAAAGCGCCGAGGAACCGCGCTCCCTTTTAACGCAGAGAGCGTGAGCTTGGTCCTGGGTGAATTTCGTTGTGGATGACTTGGGGTTTCCGGAGTTCAAGCACTCCACAGCTGGGGTTCCGCTGCTGCACGTGGCCCAGACCTCCGTTCGAGGTGCGCTGGGAGCAAAGGAAGCCAAGTGCGGTCTCCCTGGGCCGGGTTTCACGCAAGGGCTTGCGCCCTGGTTCGCACAAAGCCTGCGCGTGACGGTGCCTCGGGATCCGGATGGAGAAAAGCCCCTGGGTCCTCACGTCTCCCCGCCCCGCCCCTCCTTCCACGAGAACAGTATTTGCCTGGCGTGTAGTCCTAGACGAGCGTGCTCTGTAGGAGAAGTATGTGTTCTGTAAAGTGTGACCGTGTAGTGTAGGGGGGCGGGCGGGCAGGCAGGTGGGCGGGGGGGGGGAGGGGGCGGGAGGGTGGACGCGGCGCGGCAACTGGGGCGGGGTCCTTTTTTTATTCTTGAAGGTAAACGTCGGGATTGGGATTGGGGGTGGATTCGGTCGTCGGGACTTGCCCGTCCGCGAAGCGCAGCACAAGTGCGGCCCGGGGCGGAGTAGCTCCCCCTCCCCGGAGCCCGCGCCCTTTTCTAAAGGCGTCTGTATGTAAACAGTCAATAAAACAATCGATTTGATCTGGGCTTGGTGACTCTTTGTGGGGTGGGGGGGAGGGAGACAGAGGAAGGAAGCCTGGGGGATGCTGGAGGAAACCGCAGTAGGAGGGAGCCCCCAGGATCCTCCCACTGGGATCCTTTGTGTGAGTTCGCGTTGCTTGGACTGTCCTGTGATTTTGCCAGGTGTTTACACCCAGCACCCGCTCCTTCTTAGTGCCTCCAACTCCGGGCGGCAGGGGGCGAAACCACGTGGGCTTGAGCAGGCTGGAAATGAGTGGGAGGGGCTTCAGGGAGGGTGGGGTGGTCCCTGCAGACTGAACGACAGTTCAGGGGTGCCTGTGTGTGTGGGGGGGTGCTCCTGAGTGTGTTGTGTAGCTGCCAAATACTCCTTGGGTTGACATAGTCGCTATGATGGGGTGTGGCTCTGTGTGTGTGTAGACTGCCTCGTTTCTGTTTCAACTCCAGTCCCTCTGTTCTCTGAGAAGCCAGTGGGGGAATTCACAGGAGCATGTGCGCATGCCCAAGCGTGTGCGTGTGCGTGTGCGTGTGTGTGTGTGTGTGTTTGTGTTTGGGGGTGCTCAGTGAATGATGGACAACTGACAAGGTCTGTGAGTCTCTTGGGGTGAGTGGAGGTGAGTAGAATCTGTTTGATTGAATCGTTCTAGAAGTGAGGCTTCTTGTGTTGAGAACAGGAGAAGGAAATGGCAGGAGCCAGAGCGGGAGCTGTGGTCCTGACCCGCCTCTGGTGCTTGGGTCGGGCTGGCTGTGAGTTCCAGCTGAATCCCCAGGCAGAATAGGGAGTGGCCAGGAAGGGAGGTGTAAGAGGAAAGGCATAAAAATAGGGGAACAGATCGAGATTTCGTCCCTACTCTCCAGCTTCCAGTTTCTTCTTCCTCACCCTGACAGTGAGTATTAAGACTTCCTAATTGGACCAGTGCAGGCTGGGGACTGGGCCCATGTCCAAATACCCAGCCTCCTATCCTAGCCTGTCTCCTGGCAAAGACGGCGGCTGGGATTCTTCCCAGGGCTGGAGCCTCGGTTCCCTGCTCAGACCAGCAAACCTGTGTCAGAGAACAAGTCCCTTCTGAGAGTCACAGCTCCATTTTGCCCCTGCAGCTCACCTCACTGTTGGGGACACAGCTCAGAAATATCATCTTGTATTATAAAAGCTTTGTTTTGCTTGAAAATGCTGCCTTTGAGCAGGGGGCAGGGACTGGCTCAATTTTTTTAACTGGTTCAGGAATCCACCCACATGATTGCATTGGGCAGAGGCCTGGCTGGGCGGGTGAGGGCTTAGCAGTTTGGGCCTAACCCAGTTCTCTGGTCATGGGTATAGGGGGAGAGGGGAATGAAGGGATCCTTCCTGTCCTCCCTAAAGATTAGGGGTTTTGCTGGAGACCCCCTAGAACCCTGAGTGCCCCAGGCAGATAGGCAGAGTTCTGAGAGTTCTTCCCCTCCTTTGTCCTGGGCCAGCCTTCCTAATGGATGGACACCCATAGCTGAGCTAGCCTAGTGCTGTCAGGGCAAAGCCAGGCCCAAAGGCTCAGCTCCCAGGACGGGACTAGGCAGGTGCTGGTTGTGGAGGACCAGGGTGCCATGACACCCTATTGACTGTCCACTGGGATACCAGTCCCCTCTGGCCCTTACCAGCTTCTGTGCGAATGGATGATTGGCACGTACACAGAATGTTCTCCAGGCTCTGGCCTTCCTTCCTATCTCTTTTTAAATTTTATTCTTTCATTTCCTCCCCTTCTCTCCTTTCTCTTTTCTTTTTCTTTCTGCATCTACCTTATTTCTTCATTGAAGAATCTCTTAAAGGCCCAGGATTGGAAGGAACCCTGAAGCCTTGCCCAGCGGAGACGTCATTCCTTCCTCAGGTGTTTTAGGAGCTCCATCGTGCTTACCCAGTGCTGGGTGTGGTGTCTATATGGGGTGTTTGTCCAGATCAGATGACGGTCCCCAAACATGAGGTGACGATTGGGTGGAAGTCAGTGGCAGGGTGGGAGGGGAAAGAATTCACCTGAGGCAGAACAAAGGAGACAGACGCTTACTGAGTCCACCCAAGGGAGCGGAGGGCAGACCCCAGAGGAGCAGCTGTCTGCAACTGAGGCAGTGGGCGGGGGCTGTCTTTAAGAGGGGGAAGGTAAGCAGGTAAGGTAACTATGGAATTTGCCTTTTTTGGTAACTGGGCCTAGTTATAAGCAGCCCATTGTTCAGTGAGGGCCTCTGGATATTTTGAGTTGGGTCCCCTGTATTCAGCCAGGGGGTCTCTGTGACCCCTTTCTACATTCCATTGTTCAAGCCTATTTTCCTACACAATGGGGAGCTCACTCTTGCTCTGTCCCCCAAGTAACAGACTGTTGAGCTGTATAAAGGTCACATCTCCGTGAGATCCCGCAGAGGTCTGCTGATGTGTACCACCTCCGTCCCTTACTCCAGGGCTGTAAAGCTTTCCATTCTATGCAGATTTTTTTTTTCATGTCTCCAGGTCCTGTGCCAGTTTAGCTCTCTCTCGTGTATTTTGTCGTAAAACTTAGCTGGATGCGGCAAAGGAATGGAATCGAGTGGGCTAGGAATTCGTGTGTGTGTGTGTGTGTGTGTGTGTGTGTGTGTGTGTGTGTGTTGTAAGCGCGTATCGAGGGGACCTGGAAAATGCTCAGAGAATGCAATATGACAGCGGTAGCCTTGGAACTCAGAGCAATTTATCAGGAGCGGTAATTCTCTGAGCTACAGAAACCAGATGCCCAGGATGTGGCCTTGAATCAGATTGGAAACCTGTCTGCAGGAAGGTGATTTGAAAGGAGTGCCCCCCTGCCCCACCCTCCCCCACCAAGTGTCTCCTAAAGATCAGCAGGAATGAGAACCATCATGAAGATCATTAGGGAAAGTCCATTAATACAAAAGGACAAAGGGACACAGGGCTTCTTTGAGAAAGAAGCATCTGGAACAGACACCCCCACACACCCCACACACACCCCCCACACACACCCCGCCCCCGCCAGCCGCCCCATGCTTCCCGATCTTGTGTTTGGAATGCAGCCCTCCACACATGACGCTGGCATAACAACCACAAGTAAAGCTAACATCTCTAAAGATTACTCAAGTCAGTAAATGTTTGGACAGTTAATCCCTGGAGGTGAGGCTAATCTTGATTTTCCCTCCTTGATCTCAGGGCAGAACATTTTGGTAGGGAAAGGAAAGGGGATGGCGTCTTGCTACAAGGTTCTTGCCCCAGATTCATTCATATCAGAGCCCCAGTTATGGTATACTCCACGGGGAAAGAAGGAGCCTCTGCCCAACAAAGAGACATCATCCGCAGAGAAAGAATGATGATGTCTGAGAAACTGAGAGAAACTGGAGGGCCTTTACCTTTCAGGCATGACGTGCATTTTCTACCGAAAAACCCAACCTCAGGGACTAGGACCTAAGAAAGGCCCCAAGTAGAGACCCTAAATTGTGAAATCTGACCTAACAAATACCTTTACCTTGTA